GGGGTTTCTTAAAGAACTCATTTCCCATCTTTTGCTTGTAGTACAATAGTGTGTAGATTTTGGTTAAGAGTAAAGATTTTGAAATCAGACTTTCTTCCTGGGTCCATATTCTCTAGAAGTTAGTTGTATGTTCTTGAACAACTCATATTTCAAAGTAATGTTAGTACTTACCTTCTAAGATGTTTGAAAAGATGAATTAATATATATTTATATATAAAATGTTTATAGTAGCTAGCACATATTAAGTACTATATAAATATCAGCTACTCTTCTTCTCCTTTTTCTAATGATATTCCTTACTCACAGCTTTCCAAATTGTAACAGTAATACAAGTCAGTTGTAAAAAAATCAAAATAAATAGCACATTAGTAAAAATCAACCACTCATATCCTTTGATTACTTGTATGTTTACACGTGGATGCTTTTATTTTTTAAAGTTAATTTCTCAAGAGTAAGCTTGTTCTGTTCCGAGGTTTCAAGAGATGTTACCAGTTTAGTTTTTCCATATTATTAGAACAATCTACATTTCTACCAGTGAAAATAAGTTTTTCCTTATATCCTTATAAGTATTAGGTCTTATGTTTAAAAAGATTTTCTTTTGTAATATCTGTTTCCTTATTTTTGTTTCCCTGATTTGTAGTGAGTTAGAATGTTTGTTGTATTTGCTGTTATTCTGCTAATTATTCCTTTTCCTTTGTTCGTTTTCTATTAGGTTCTGTCCTTTTCTTGTTAGCTTATGAGTTCAATATATATTTACTTATTATATTTTGATACTATGTTTTGTAATATTTTTCCAAATCTGATCTTGTCTATTAATTTGATCATGACTTTTGCCATGCAAAGATTTGATACATTTATTTGGATAAATTCAACTCTTTCTTTTCTTTACTTTTCTTTCTTTCTTTCTTTCTTTCTTTCTTTCTTTCTTTCTTTCTTTCTTTCTTTCTTTCTTTCTTTCTTTTTCTTTCTTTAGTGAAAGCATGAGCAGGGGAGGGGAAGAGGATGAAGGAGAAAGAGAATCTTAAGCAGGCTCCATGCATGGAGCCTGACATGAGGCTTGATCTTAAGACCATGAGATCATGACCTGAGCTGAAATCAAGAGTCAGAAACTTAACCAGTTGAGCCACCCAGGTGCCCCTTTTTTTCCTTTTTGTAGATTCTGGGTTTTCTCTTTTGGTTAAAAATGTTTCCCCAGCAAATTGTCCAGAGAGTGTTTTTTTTTTTGTATTTTTTTACACATTTTATTATAATATTTTAAATATATTTTAAACATATGAGATAAGAATCAAATTTTATATTTTTTTCAGATATGATCTTCTTCCAGTACAACTTACTAAACAAAAAACCTTTTTACATTGTATTGAAATATCAGTTTTGTCATTGTGTTAGGTTCTTATTGCTTCATAGCAAATTATGAACAATTTAGCAGCTTAAATAATGCATATTTATTATGTTAAAGTTTCTGTGAGTCAGGAGTCCATGCATGAAATTAGCAACTACTCTTCTTAGGGTCTCATCAGGCTATAATTAACGTGTTGGCTGGGGTCTTGATGTCATTTGAGAAATGGAATCCTTCTCTCTGCTCATTGATTTAGACAGAATTTAATTCTTTATATTTATAAAACAGGTCACCATTTTCTTGCTAGCTGTCACCTGCGGGTTGTTCTAAACTCCTAAAAAGCCATTCTCAGGTTCTTGACATGTGTCTCCTCAATAGGCAGTTGCCAACATGTCTGTTTGATTCTTCCAGGGCAGCAAGATAATCTTTCCCACTTCCAATCTCTCCCAGCAGAGTAGTCCTGAAAGGTCAGACTCACAGATGATAATGTCCCCTTTGATTTTAACTCAATATCAACTGATTAAGAATTTTAGTTACATTTGAAAAGTCCCTTTCCCATATAATGTAACCAAGTCATGGGAATGAAATCTTGGCATTTTCACAAGTCTTGCTTATACTCAGTGGGAGGGGAATATACAGGGTGTGTATATTTGGAGATTGGAAATTTGAGGGAGACCTTAGATTCTGCCTACCATAGTCTTACTAAAGTCTCTATTTGTACATTTTCTCTTCTAGTCTAGTCATTTGTCTATCCTGAGTACTATAAATTCGGTCTTATAGAATTCTCTGATATCTCATAATTCAAGTTCTTCATGATTAAGTCATTCACACATCATTTCATACTTTTCATGGTTGTTCTAATGATTTCTTTTCTTTCTTATTAATATTAAGATGACTTTTATCATTTTCCAGCAAAATAAAACAAAACTGTGAGGTTTTAATTTGAATTGCATGAAAACTCTATATTAATCCTCAGAAAAAATATATTTCATATCAGGGGGCCTGGGTGGGTCAGTCAGTTAAGCATCCAACTCTTGATCTCAACTCAGGTCTAGATCTCAGAGTCATGAGTTCAAGGCCTGCATTGGGCTCTGTACTGGACATGAAGCCTATTAAAAAAATTATATATATATATATATATATATATTTCATATCTTTCAACCTAAAAATAGGAGATATTTTAGAGTTGTTAAATCTTGTTTATTACTCTTGAAAAAAGATTATATAGATTTTAAAGGTCTTACTCAATTTATGTTTGATTTCTTACCCCTTTTCTGGCTTCATTCCCTTCTCTGAAATATAGGGATGATAATAATAGTACATTATTGTGCATATTAATTAACTAAATATATGTAAATCATTAAGAATATTACCCGGCACATAGTCAACAATATGTGAGCATGTAAGTGTTATAAGTATGTTAGGTGTATTACAGTATCTTGTGACTTTATTTATATTTTCCAATAAATAATGAGGCTGAGAACTTTCTTACTGGCTATTTGGAGTTTGGGAGGTGTCTATTCAAGTCTTTTGCTCATATTTCTGTTGATCATCTTTCATTTTCATATTTCACTGTGTTTCATATATCTGGATACTAGCAGTATATCAGATATTTGTATTAGAAACTTTTTAAACATTTATTTGTTGGGCATTTCACTCTTAATTTTTTCTTGTGGTAAACAGAAACATCTTCATTTAAATGTAATGCAACTTGCCAATTTTTCTCTTGATGGTTCATTCTTTCAATTTGATGTTCAAGAAATTTTCCCCTACTGCAGACATAAGGTTTTTTCCTTTGATATCTCTTAGAAATTTTACTATTATACACTTGTGAATTAGGGCAATCATACCTCTAAAATAGATTTGTTAAAACTCATTTTTTCCAATTGATGACACCATTTATTGAAAAGATCCAATGTACTTCAGGATCACTTTTTAAAAAAAATAAATCAAGTAACCATGCATGGGTAGTTCTTTTCTTATACCTTCTGTGGTGTTCCATTGGCCTTCTTATCTAACATTGCAATAACTTAATATTTCTTTGTAACTAGTAGTGTTAATCCTCCAGCTTTTTTTTCTTCAAAATTTTCTTGACTATTATTGACCCATTTCATTTACATATAAAGTTTAGAATCTGTTTGTTAGTTTACACATCCAAACACATGTAAGCTCATGAATGTGCAACACACAGATACAGAGCCTTGTATGATTTGGTTGTGATTACACTGAATTTATAGACCAATCTGAGAATAATTAACATCTTCATGATACTGAGTCTTCCAATCCATGAAAATAGCATGCTTCTCCATTTAATTTTGGCCTCCATTAATGTCTCTGAGTAATATTTTATATTTTTTAGTAGAGGATTACATAACTTTTGTTAAATTTATTGTCAAACATGTAATGTTCTTGACACTATTTATGAATGATATTGTTTTCAAGGTTTATTTTTAAGCTTTGTTGCTAGCATAAAGAGATGTAATTGATTTTGCTTATTGATCTTTTTCAATCAATATTACCAAATTAAATTTTACTTTTAATAGTTCCTTGGTTCATATATTTGATTTTTCTATGTAAGTAATTACATGTTTTGTAAATAATAATAGTTTTATTACTTCTTTTTTCTCTTGCCTTATTGCGCTGGTCTGTACCTCCAGAACGTTGTGACACTGACAGTAATAGCTGGCTTTTCTAATTCTGTTTTCTGAGAGCAAATTTCAGCTTAAGGTAGGTCTTTCTATTCTATATGTATGTATATATAATGAGTTTTAATTTTACCAAATTATTTTTCTGTATCTATAGTAAGCACATTATGTTTTGCCTTTATTCTGGCTTTAGGTGTAAGGCATATGAACAACATCACCATTTATATATGTGGGGAAATAATAGATATCGTAAGATAAGCTATAGAATTCATGGGAGAGACCTTAAGGTTACACAGGAAGGAACAATTTGACTTAGGCAGTGGTCATGCAGGAGGAGAGCACAGGGTAAATGAGAAGCCAAAAAGGAAAAACTGCTATTGAATAGCTGTGTTATAAAAATGGATGAGAGAAGTCCAAATTAAGTGTAGTGTTAATGCCTAAGAAAAAAATATTCAAAGCTAAAACAAGGATATTGGCATAAAGATCTCAAATTAAGGATAATAGCTCATGGTCTAAGTCAATAATCAATTCTTTCATAGGTACTTAAGCTTATTAGTAAAAAAAATAAATAAATAAATAAAAGGAAAGAAAAAACTTACTAGTTAACTTGGACAGGATTTCAGGCAATTTGGAATAAATAAGTCGATTTAACTGCTGAACCAGAAGTTAGATTCTCTATTATAAGTTGATTATTCACAATTTGGTTACCTGTGTGCGAGTTATATACATTGACTCTTGAGAATGGTAGAAATGATTATATATTGTAAATGTGCTGCTAAATGGCCATTTTAATTACCTTCTAGAGAAGAGAAATTATTAATAACAAAAAAGAGTAAAGTTATATTTCACATGCTTCTTCATAATGGATATAGTAATTTAAGTTCTACTTTCCAATTTTGTAACCAATAGATTAATATGTATATAAGTACTTAGTAAGTATACAATAGTACACTGATGTAAGGAATAATGATTATTACTGCTAAAAAAGCTATCCATATTTATTCTCTAGGTGATGACTGAACAAAACCATTGGTGGTATATCAGTCATTGAGCAGAGAAGCAGCGAAGTGATGTGGAGTAAGGGGCTTATTATAGGGATTTAGCGTGATGCACTCATGAGAGCTGGGTAAGCAGTTTACCATGGCTGTTATTTCTGTGTATATTTCTAGGTCTGTAGGCAACTAGGCAGGCAGTGGAGCAGGCAGTACTAAAAAAGAGTCAGACCTGAAGGAGGGGAGAAACAAAGGCAAACTGAAATTTTCAATGATCACTTTGAAGATAAGGTCAAACTGGAACCCTCATCTTATTTTTTATTTTTCTCTAATTTTGATGACTAGGTGACCTGTTGGAAAAGCCAATGCCTTTCTTCACAAAGCTAACTACGCCAGGAGTCAGAGAAACTAAAGACGTTCAGTCCAACTTCAAGTCAGTTTGGGCTGAAGATGAGTCTCATCAAGGCAGATCAGGAATAGGGCCACCAACTCTCCTGATTTTCTCAGGACTGGGGGTGTTCTCAGGAGAAAAGACTTATGGTAACAGAAACTGGGACAATCTCAGTTAAATCATAAATGTTGATCACCCTAGCAGGAGACCCCCAATAACTCACTTGATCTGCAATAGATTTAACACTACACTGAATTTGCAAGTGTAAACATGGCAGCTGCTTCACTTCCACCTTACAGATTTCATGCAAATTTCTTACAGGGTCTGTCCTAGCAATACAGGGAAGAGAACTCTGGGAACTGGAGTTCCAGTTTAGCTGAGTTTGCGCAATAATGCAATCTCTAGAGGTAGCCACTGAGAATTATTTTTATTTGATTTTATGTTTCAGAATAAACTATAATCTCCTTTACTAAGCAGTTTTGCTGTAGTAAATGCACAGAAATCCAGCTCTTCAGAATAGTGAGTAATTACTATTTAATTTAATAAATTTAGAATTATTTATTAATTTATTAAATTATTTATTAATTTAATAAATTAGAATTTAAGTCTAATTCACTTAAAGTGAGTCATAAGTGTTTTAGCCAAAAGTAATAGTAGCTTGTAATATATACATTATAAAATCATGAGGCATGTAAAATAATTTAACATTCCCAAATCCCTTTGAATGTATACTTTAATTTTAGATAAACTAACATAGTATACAAATATCTCACTTCATCAAGTTTTCCTTCATTATTTGCAAGAATTTTCTTTATATACTCACCACAAATAAATGGAAAGCCACTTTTGTGTTGCCCATATATAATAGACTATTTGTTCAACAATTTGTCCTCTGTAATTTTAAAAGCACCTAACAAATTTCCTTTATGATTACATTAGTCCCTCCTTATCCACGGTTTTGCATTCTGTAGTTTCAGTCACCCGTGGTCCTCTGTGATCCAGAAGCAAACGATTCTCCCCTGACATATGGTCAGAAGGTCTGTAGTAGCTTAAAACGATGTTACAGTGTCTGCGTCATGCACCACACTTCATCTCATCAGGTAGGCATTTTATTACCTCACATCATTATCAGAAGATGGGTGAGTATAGCCAATAAGAAGATATTTTGAGAGACTACATTCATATAATCTTCATTACAGTATATTATTATAATTGTTCCATTTTATTATGAGCTACTGTTGTTAATCTCTTATTGTGCCTAATATATGAATTAAATTTTATCACAGGTATGTATTATTAGGAAAAAACATAGTACACATAGAGTTTAGTACTATTGTGATTTCAGACATCTAATGGGGTCTCAGAACATATCTATGTGTATAGAATACTAAGAAGCAATCTGTCTGTAAAAAAGAGACATTGTGACCTTTTATTTAAATAGAAGTGATACAGGGAACGCATTTACACATTATTTTAATTATACTAAATTGGAGCCCTTTTTTAGACAAATTAAGGTAATCAAGGAATCACTAATGGGCTTGCCTTTATAATTTTAACCTCCAAGCAATTCCTTTTCATTTTTTAATAGACTTTTTAACTTTTCACAATTTAATTACTATCAGATTAAACCATTCTCCTTTTTAAAACCAAGCCTTCATTGTTGGAGAATGTAGAGGCCATTTCAGGCAAAATTGTTGAAGATTCAACAACTGTTCATTGCTGTTAAACACTCAACTAGGTGCTGTGAGATATAAATGGGAGTAGCCAGAGTAAAACTCAAGTGCAGTTTTTTAGCAAATTGAAGCTCCCAAACATATTTAGTTTTGAGAAGAAAACCTCAAGAAAAAATAGCCTTACATAGCTTATTTCAGTTCTTTGAAAGGATTTTGTGTGGAAAGTAATGGATTCTATTTTCTATATGATTCCAGAGAATAGAGGTAGCACTCATCAGGAATCCCCAGTGAGCTCCTAATGACAAAATCCAATGGCCACGGGAGGTTAAATTTCAAGTATCTATTTCCCATGAGACATTTGAGATTGTTGACTTCCACCTTCTCTTAAAAATTTTCTTGTTTTCTCTTACTTGAATGCCCCTTCCTATTTCTTTGCTTTTACAGTTCCTTTTTTCATTGCTTTAATCCTAAATCTTGGATATTACTGAAATCTCATCCTTGTCTCCTCTTCTCTTCTCTATCCTATCCTTTCTTTCCCTCTCTGCTATTCTTTTCTTATTCTACTCTGGCTTCTTGTTTCAGAACTTGAGCTAGCTTCTTTTCCCTAATCTGGAAATCCCAGTCCAGTATGGTTTATTTTAACAAGTTCTAGATCAATATATCCTACTGAGAATCTCTGTTCAGAATGTTCCAATGTCACTTGAAGCTCAATATTGCTTATATGGAACCTATTAACATCCCCTTTCCCAAATCCAGTTGTTTCTCTTGTAGTTTGAATTTCTGGAACTGGTAGCATCATATGCCAAATCACCAAATCCAGAAATTAGTAAATGATCTATTTTTCTCTTCTCTTATCATTATATTCAATTGATCACGAATTCTTTATCTTTTGAATGTTTGATCTCTTCAACATGGCTTGCAATTGCTCTTTTCTATGTAATGCCTCTGTAGCTGCCACAGTCTTCATTTTCAATTATTTTTCCAGCCATTGCAATAGTTTCCTGGTTAGTGTACCTGAGTCCAAATTTTTCATATTCTTGTTCATCCTCACCTGTATGTTAGGTGGGATGTATTATAGAGGAAAATAAAGGAAGATAAGGGATGGGAAGTGTTGGGTTGTATTTAATTTTGTAAAAGACTGGTAGAGTAAGTTTTCATGAGAAGTTGATGTTTGAATAATGAATGGAAAGAGATCAGAGAATATGCAATTAAGATACCTAGAGGATGTATATTTCAGAAAGAGGGAACAGCAAGTGCAAAGGGCCTGAGATAGAAGCATGGGCACCCTTGTTACTAGAGAGGAATGAGTTAAGAAGAAAATAATAAAAGATGAGGTTAGAAAGTTACTGAGAATATTTTGGTGTGGCCAGTGGTGTAGCATTTAGTCAACCATGCAAAGGACAATGGATTTTACTCCCAAAGAAATGGGAAGCCACTAAACACTATAAGCTGAGGAGTTAAATGATTTTATGTTTTATAAGGATTGTCCTAGGTGCTGTGTTGAGGAGGAGGATAAGGGAGTGGGTAAGTGTGGTAAATAGGGGGGATGGTTCAGAAGATATAATGTTGCATGTGAAGATCAGTGGAAAATGGAACCAGGATGGTGTTATTGGGATTCTTGGAAAGTTAAGGGAATCTTAATAATTTGAAAAGAAAACCTAGAGAATTCCTCATAATTGATAAAGTGCCTGATAATTGTAATATGGTGTTTTTTATTTGTTGGTTTGTTTGTTAAATGCTGTCTTGACCTTGTTTTGAGGCTCTTTCCAGAGGCTGATCAGTTCCTCTTCTTGAGTAGCCAATTAAGTGAACATCCTCAATCACTTTCCTTATCAGGCTCTCACACTGCTGGTCACTGTGCATTCATCTTAATTGCCCCAGGGGCAGGCTCTAGACACTCAGGGATAGCCCTTCTTTCTAGAACCCAGCTGAAATAATTCAAATTCGCCAATCTGAAACCTGTTCACCCTTCCCTTCCATTGGTAACCACAATAAGGATGCTTCTTATGGTTTCCCTCCCTTCCTCTGTCTTGTGACTTAACTTAGGGTACTTCACTAAGTGGCCTTATGCTGTTTCTCTCCAGGGAACTGAGAGTCCTATGATAACAAAAGTAGCAAAAGCAACACGAGAAAACTCTTCGCAGCTTCTGTCTCCCTTGATATGCCTCTGGCTTCACGATACCTCTCTCAAAGAACTGTGGCTAAAACAAATAGACAATTGAAAGTCCATAAATACATTTACTGAATGAACAGTGCTTCCTGGAAAGCACTTTAAAAATTTAAAGAAGTGCCAACAATTGATAGTTGCTCAATAAATATTTGATGACTTTCTTGAATTAATGTTAAAAAATTTTTTCTAACAGAGATAATCAGTAGGGAAGATATTGCCTTAATGTATGTACTCTTTAGAGACTTTCACTTAGTGTGTTAATTCAGAAGATACTCAAGTACTGGTAGGATAATTATATCATTTATTTTTTTATTTTTTATAGTATTCTAAATATTTTAAATGAATGTTTTCCCAAACCTGAGAATTTTTGATTCTTTGATAGCTGTTGCTGGTCTACTGAGACAGTACAAACCAATGAAACAGAAAAGAGAATGTAAAAGAGCTGTAGAAACATTAGAGCTATCTTCTGTATTAAAAGGTTATGTTTTGGGGCTGATATTAGTGGTTTGCAAGTATAATTTTTAAAGAAGACAGGACTTTGGGAGAAGAAAAGAGTATTGTTAGTGCAAAAAGTGTTGTGCCTTGGGTCTTAAAACGGAGATAAAGACTTAGGAATCCACATCCAAAGTAAAAGTAGGAAACAGTTTTATTAAAATAACACTACATTCTCTAAGGAAGAGTGGGCAGTTTCCTTGAGGTAGAAGAGATCCCTATGTTGTTTTGGGATTGGACATTATTGGGTCTCTCTGGGATGGGTGGAGTTGGTCTCTAGTGGGGGCTGCTTCCAATTACTTGGGGGACTCTGTCTGCAGGTTTGAGGGGGAAGGTTTGACCGACAAGCTTTGTACCAGAACACTCCCAGAAGCCTTTCTACTTAGGGAGAAGGCTGTAACTGCAATGCAAACTCACTATAATGAGTATAGGGGTTACCCTGGGGCAGAGGTAGAAGAGGTGGGGCATTCTCTTAACTAGTGGTCTATAAGCCACAAGGTCAGGATGTTGTGCCTTCACGTTTCTAATGTGTAACCTATTTATCACCATCCTTGTCTCCAGCCCATGTCTCTGTCATTCCCACCCTCAAGGACTTGGGACTCTGCCTCTGGCATTCCTTCCACTTCTTGTATCTAGCTTCTACCTAACAGTATTTAGGAATTCCTAGCAAAAAAATGCTTGGACATCATTCAGTGACATGTAGTGATGAGTCTTCTGTGTTCAGATACCTGTTGATTTCCCTGGCTGGACTTGAAAGAATGATACTGGGGATCTGCTACACATGAAAACATTTAGATAAAGTTGACCAACCCGGAAACCATTATTACTTAATAGCTTTGTGTTTTCAAACTAAATGCAATGTAATTAACCTTTTTTGGACACACTTCTTTGGATTTTATCAATTACATCATTCCATATGAGCATTACCATAATCAGGGTGCATTTTGTCACCCCCCAAATTTCTCTCATGCTGTCCCTTTGTAGTGACATGTCCTCTCCCTACTAGCTCCTAAAAATCACCAGTACAGTCTTGCCACTCTAGTTTTGTCTTTTGCAGAATGCTATAGAAATGGGATCATATGCAAAGATTTGAGGCTAGCATCTTTTGCTCATCCAAAGCAAAAGCCTTTATGATTCATCCAAAGGATTCAAAAGGGCCCAAAGTATAGTGTGATGGTCTTGCTCATTCACCCAGTGAAAGACATGTGAATTGTCCACTTTTAGAACTTATGTATATAGCTGCTGTAAACATCCAGGTATAGGTTTTTGTGTGAGCATAAACAATTATTTCTTTGGGGGAAATATACAGAAATGGAATTGCTGAGTTATATGGGGAGTGTATGTTTAACTTTATAAGAAAGTGCTAAACTCTATAGTAACTATATCATTTTATAATCTCACCAGCAGTATAAGAGAATTTCAGTTACTCTGTCTCCTTGCTGGCATGAGATGTCAGTACAGTATTTTTATTTCAGTCATTCTAATAGTGTGATGGTATCTCATTGTGTTTTTTTAATTGTATGCATACATCTTTTAACCTTTTGTTTTGGAATAATTGTAGATTCACATGTGCTTGTAAGAAATAAAAAAGAGATCACAATAAATCCTTCATCCAGTTTCCCCAGTGGTAACTATCTTGCATAACTATATAGTAATATCACAACCTGAAACTTGAAAGGCATTGATTAATTAAATAGAATGTTGAACACATCAAATAAATAAACTGTCTTATTCAGATTTCACTAGTTTTACATCCCTCAATTAT